AAAAGGTAAACGTCCATATCCTAACTATAGATTCCGCTGCGTTAGGATTTATTTCGATAAAGTTCAATACTGTGCATGTTGTTTGACGTTCCTAACAGAACCCAACAGGCAGGGTGCCACAAGTGTTGCATAACCGAAGACACCCGAAAAGCATTGGCAGTGATTGCCCCTCGGAAAAAATAGAGTCCCCCCAACTATTCACCCGCTCAAATCACCGTTCTCGAAGTGAGGTCCTGAATAGCACAATATTTATTTGTGAAGGTAGCAACACAACCAGATTGTTCCAATAACCGAGATAATGATATCAAGCTGCACTGAAGGCTGTCAACGAGCAAAACATCATATAAAATAATACGAGAACCTAAATGAACAGTTCCAACTTTGCACGCAGTGGTGAGCGTGCCATTCGGTAATTACACAGACCGGGCGAAATATCTCGGATATCAAAAAAAAATTCTAAGTAGCCTGTCATATGATGTGAAACACCGCTATCATACATCTACTCATAAGGACTACGCTTACCGGACAAAGAAGCATTGTTGGGGACGGAAGAGACGAGGTGGACAATAGACTCCCATTGGGCATCAATTAATCCAGAAATAGCTGCCCGATCGGAGTCCATTAATGAGGATGTTGGCCCGCCATGTATGGAGCCAGAGGTACTAAGTGAAGCTTCGTTCTCGAAGGCAGCGTTGACAAAGCCGGCAGCAGCTAGTTCATCACCACGACCAACTCATCCTCCGGCGTGAGCAGCGATTCCCACATCACCCAATTTTCCAATAATTCACGCTAGGGACTTTAACACTTTTTTTTTTTTTTGAAACTGGTTCCTCAGAAAAGCAGCACTCCGCACAAATAAGTTAACAACCCCTAATAATTCCAGGAAGTAAAATCTCCCTACAACTCTTGGTTTCCAAAATCAAAGGATTTTTTTTTTTCTTGAAACGTGCTTGTTCTTTATGGAGAGAAACCGAAAGGGAGGAAAGAAAAATTGAGAGAGGGCAGCAGGAAGAGAAAAAGATAGGAGTCTCAATTGATCGAGACTTAAGATTAAAAAAAATAAAAAATTAACCGGTCTCTGATACCATGACAAATACATGAAAGCAATTCTTTCACCCAAAAGACTTCTGTGCCATAGATTTATCAGAGCCCCCAATTTATAGATACAAAAGAAACCCTAAAATAATATACCCCAAATCTCTAACATACCAAAATCTATCTATACCAAAAATACAATATTCACAAAATCACTCTAACAAAAAACGCATCATACTCTTTCCAACCCATTCGGTGCGACACGAGTCGTGTTCGTCGTCACACGAGTTGCGTGACACACTGGGCACCAAAACCATCATTTAACGGATTCTCAGAGCTTCTGGTTGCATATAGATCTCCTTCGACATCTCATATGGCTTACAGTGGTCGGACGACGTACAAGTAGCCGAACATGGAAGTTCCCGTTTGTGAAAAAATACGATCATTCACTTCAGCTTCTCCGGTGCAGTTTCCGGATCCAGGATGATTTTCCGACGAGATTATGGCGGCATGGGTCGTCTTGGTGGTCTTTGGCGGTCGGACAAGGCAAGTTCGGGCCAGCTCTCCCTCAGCCTGGCGACAACAGCTTCTCGACGGTCGCGCAACCCCTCGAGTGTCTTCGCCAGCGACAAGGTAATGATGGCGGTCGTATAAGTATCTCTGGTTTCCTAACATCATCGAAGCTCCGGCTGGTGCGTGTTGGTTGGACGTGCAATGACAGCCATGTCGCAACGCGCAGATGGAGTGGAGAAGATGATCCTTTTCCATCAATATTTTAGTTTTAAAATGACTATACTGCCCGCTATTAATGAACGTGTGGGCTGAGCGTTTGGGTCTAACTGTGGCCTTCTAAGTGGACTTTTTTTGCGGGCTGTGTACCGGGCCGGTCCAAATGCATGACTCGCACTCCGCATATATTCGTTTCACACCGTTTTTTACTCCTATAATTAATTGGATATCATTTCCTGTCAAATCTCCAAATAACACATTTCACCATAGCTTAATATAACTAATTAAATAAAAAGTAAGTATATATCAAACTACAACGAAACCGACACAAAAATTACTTTAAAATGCACGAAAAATGACATATGTCAATGTCGTGTCTATAAAAGAAAGTAAAAGTATTTTAATAACATTCAGCAAACTGAGTATTTTTCATATATAAAAGATATTGAAATTAAATAATAATATATTTATTTTCTCTATAATTTTTGTTTATTTATAATCACATTAATAAATAAAAAAAAAAATATTAGAATAAAACAATACTATATTCATTTTTTGTTTTCTATTATTTGTAATCACATAAGTAAATAATTTGGGCGGTGTGAACGAGTATAAATAATTGGAGGGTGTGAATGCATACACGGTAGCTGCTAATTTACTTCACGTCCAATTAATTAAGCGACTTGTCCAACCTTACAATTTTCTCTTGATAATGTCAAAGAGCATACATTTCTTCTAGAGTTATGCTTTTGTTCTATAGATACATAGACGAAATGATTTGCTCGTGAGGTCAGCTTGGCTCGTCTCTACTTATTAAGGCTCAAACTAGAGCTCATTTAATTGAGACTCGAGAATAGAAGTTTGTATGTAATTTTAGTTTTAATTTTTTACTTTAACTCAGCTCGTTAAAATTTGAGTTTGCCTCGTTAATTTTGACGAATGAGTTGAACTCGAGTTGTTTTACCAGCTTTGTGTAACTAACGAGTTAAACTCGCCTCAACTCAATAAAAGGCTGAAGCCCGAGTTCGAGTATTAGAAATTCAACCTCAGCTCGGTTTGGTTCAACTAGACTACTCGACTCGATCATCTCTTTAGTTCGATGACACGTACAAGCATAAATTCATTAATTTTTCCTTTATCTCTCTCTCACTCTTAACTTGTTTGAAGAAAATGGTTTCATAATTTAATTGAATAAATTTTACATTACGATCCGGCTTTCGATAATATGCAAACTTATCGCAACTCAAAAATAGAAAATTGTATTTGTTTGTTGAAAATAATTAAATTTGTGTTGAAACTTGAACTCTATAATATGCAAACTTATCCCAGCACATGACATAAACTCGTATTTGTTGGTTGAAAATAATATATTTTGTGTTGAAACTTGAAATTGTACTACTTTTAACTCGGTAAGGTTACTCCTAACTATGGAACAATACTTTTTCAATATATATTCATACTTCCAAATGAAAATAAAATACTTTAAAAAAACTATAGAAACAAAGTATAACATTTTTATGCATAAGTGTGCATTTTTATTAATAGTTGGACATGAATATTTGATTTTGACT